CTGGTCTGGTGGTATCTGTCCCTGCCCACGGCAGGGGGCTGGAGCTGGATGATCTTTAAGGTCCCTTCCAACCCAAACCCTCTGTGATTCTGTATTCTCAGTATCAAGTGTTTGCCTGGTTGGTGGTTTCTCTAATAAGCCCCCTTCAGAGGAGAATCCTGCTTTACACCTGGGTTACTACAGCCTCTTACAGCAGGCAGCAAGTTCCTCCTTCAAGTGCAGGGACCAGCTCTAGGCTTAGTTTTACAGCTCAAAGAATATTTTCCCCAGCCCAAACATGCACACATACACCCAAGCCCTTCTCAGGAGGGAGGTGGGGAAGAGTTCTGGGTCCCAAGAGCCTGATCCCAACCAGCTGCTGAGTTCCTTGGGTACTGAACACCCTTCCAGCAACCCTCAGGTCATGTATAGACCAGCCAAGACCCTGCGTGGTGTCCCAGCTGCTGGGTCTCTGCAGGATCTCCAGCCTGGTCTCTGCAGTGCCCGGGGCAGCTGTGGCACCAGGAGGGGGTTGGTGGCTCCCTGTGCCCATGTGCAGGGTACCTGCCCCTTCCTGCCCCTTCCTGCCCCACCCAACACATTTTTCTCTGCTTAGCTTCTCTGCTGGGCCTTGCACTCCCTGAGCTTTTATGGGCATGGCAGCGAGTGCCCTGGGAGGGGAGGGTCCAGCCCTTGGGAAGGTTTCCAGGCAGGATCCTTGGCCCTGGCCACAGGAGAAGCTCTTTAACTAAACAAATGAACTAAAAGCACCTTTGCTGTTGCAGCAGAGCAGTGGGGGCTGCTGGCAGCTTTCCCCTCCAGCAGCTTCAGATGCTTGTGGCATTTCTGTTAGCTGGGCTGCCAGGGAGGTGAAGAAACCCTTCCCTCAGTGGGGTGGTTTCTGCAGTGCTGATGCACCAGAGCTCCTGCCCTGGATTGTCTGGAGATAACGTCCCCCCCTGATTCCTGCAAATGAGGATATGAAGCTAGAGGCTTGATGTGGGGTTTCTAGATGCCCTTCCCCAGGGACACGATCCCAAAGGCAGGAGTGGGGCACTGCTGCTGGGAGCCTCTGGCAGGAGTTGCTCTGCTCAGGACCAGAACTCCTCCTGTGCCCCAGCCCGTGGCTGTTTCCTCAGAGCCCAGCTCCCTGCTCAGCCCCCTGCCCCACCTCGTGCAGCTCGTTTGGCTGCACAGCTCCTCTCCATGGAATCATGGAAGGGTTTGGGCTGGAGGTGACCCATAAACCTCACCTGGGCCAGTCCCCTGCAGGGACAGGGACATCCCCAGCTAGAGCAGGGTGCTCAGAGCCCTGGCCAACCTCCCCTGGGATGGTTCCAGGGATGGGGCAGCGACCACCTCTCTGGGCAGCCTGGGCAGGGGGCTCACCACCCTCAGGGTCCAAAATTCCTTCTTTCTCTCCAGTCTCAATCTCCCTCTTTTAGTATCAAACCATCCCCCTTGTCCTGCCCCAGCAGGCCCTGCTCAAGAGCCTGGTCTCCCAGCAGAGAGCTCCCAGCCCTCACATCATTTCTGTGGCTTCCTCTGGAGCTGCTCCAGCAGATCTGTGTGTTCCTTGCGTGGACAGGAGGCTCCTGGCCCAGCCCTCAGGGGGCAGGAGAGCAGCAGGGTTGTCTCTGAGGACACCCAGGCTGGACTGTCAGCCCCTGTGTCTCCTCACCTGCTGAGACATCTGCTCACCTGTGCTCCTGAGCAACCTCTGCACTCCTGGGTGGTTGTTTTCCTTGATCACCATCTGGCACACTAGGTTGGGTTCTCCTAGAGCCAGATCAGAAAGAGAAAAAAATTAAGACCTGATTTTTTGGTGCTGTTTGAGCTCCTGGTTTGCCTGTGTGGCTGTGAGGTGGCTGGGATGGCTCCAGGGCCTTGTGTGGGGTGTGGCAAGGGGCTCCAGAGATGCTGGCTGGGTGTGTGCCAGGGCAGGGCTTAAAAACAGCCTGGGCTGGGCTGTGGGGTGGGCTGTGGGGTGGGCTGTGGGGTGTAGGGTGGGCTGTGGGGTGTGTGGGG